AACCATTCGTCCCCATTTTGGCTTGTGACGTTACATTAGCCACAGCGCCATTGCACCCTCCCTGCTTCCTCCCTGTGATTGTCATTTCCATCAAGTCTTCGAGTCTGTCCCTTCTTGTCTTCTGGGCTCTCGTTTTGGGCTTGTCTGACTTGCATGGTTGGCTATTCTAAGTGAATGTTTCCTGGTGCTCTTGGTCACCTTGTAGACCTGTCTATTGTTTGGCTAAAAGTTGAGCCACTGAGGTGACTTTTATTCCAATTTTGAAGGGTAACTAAGATTTCCAGTGGCTGATTTTTCTGAAGCAGATCTCCAAGCCTTCCTTCCGAGGTACTTCTGGGCAGACTCACCATCAGCCTTTCCATGAGCAACCAAATGGAATTCCACGTTCTTAGTGACTAAGGTTTACTAACGAAAAAGTGATTATCAAAAAAGACTCTGGGTTACAGAAACATGGCTTCCATCCTATAGCCTCTGGGTTCAGGAGCTTCTAACAGAACCCCTACTATGTGTCCACAGGGTGCTCTGGTGGCTTCGTCCATAGGGAGCTGCACTGTTAATCCCAAGGCTGTACCTCCTTGGCGGTTCAAATCCACTAGCTGCTCTTTGGTGAGAGAAAGATGGCCAGTCTCCTCCTGTGCGGTTTCCAGACTTGGGAACCCAATGCATGGCCAGGTAGAAGTCGGTTCCAACTCAAGGTCAGTGAGTTTGAGTCTGAATGTGGATCTCCAGTAAGAGCCCTGGTGACACAGTGGTGAAGCTGCTTCACTGCTTCAAACCCACCAGCCAATCCACTGCAGAAAACCATGGCAGTCCACACCCAAAAAGATTCAGAGCCTTGGACACATGATAGGGCTGGTCTATTCTGTCCTGTGGAGTTGCTATGAGTTGGGATTGATTCTAGTGGGGCTTGTGGCTTGGATTTTGGGGTCTCTATTTGATTGCCTTTTGTGCAGAAGAGCCTCCTACCTGCTCCCTGGCTTCCTCCAAAGACACCTGAAGGTTACCTGAGTTGGAAAGGCCCTTCTATACAGTCACACGCTCTCACCCACCATTCTCACACACATTTCATTACTCAGACACGCTTGTAGAATCACAGATATATCCGTTCATACACACTCACACACACCGAGCTGGTTTGTTTACTCCCTAAATCTTAGTCTCTGGTACTATATAATCCATGGCTAACACCTCCAACACCCCCATCTTCCGCAAGGGCCTCCAAAAACTCCACCTCCCACCTGGCCGCATTCCACTCTTCAGGAATGTAATGTTCAGCTCCAGCCTGCCCTTGAATAGCCTCACAGGGCTGAGCAGAAAGAGTCATTTGGATGCAAAACAGGTTCTAGGAAGTGAGGCTCAATAGGAAGGGCAGCAAGATGAGAGGGAGGGAAGCAATGAGTTCAGGGCCGAAGGGTGTGCCTCACGGTCTGGTGACATCCATGACACCTGGAAGTATCATCACATCCATCCCTGCTCCGCGATTCTAGGTCTCTGGCATCTGCATGGAGCCCCTGGGAGGGATCAGCATTTGATGCTCTCAGTGGCTAATCAAAACTCTGGAAGTTCAAAGTACCACTCAAAGTTATGTAGGGACAAAGACTTGGCAATCTACTTCCTAAAAAGAATCGCCCATTGGAAATCCTTTGGGACACGGATCTACACTGACATATATCAATCTAGGTGGAAGGTTTCAGATCAAAGCCAAGAACCATGCCCACGTAAAGTTTATTGTGTGCCGGGCTACTCTGCAAGGGGAATAGTACCAGGGGTTGGGCTTAAGGGGTTTATATGAGGTCACTGCAGGGGCTCATTGGGACATAAATTTTCTGGTCTTGGAAAACTGGTTCTGAGGAATGTCCTGACATAGGCTTTCTGAGTTCTGGTTTCAGAAAAATGCCCTGATATAGGGTTTTCTAAGTTCTGGTTTTAGAGACTGTCCTGACATAGGATTTTCTGAGTTCTGGTTTTGAAAAATATCCTGACATAGGATTTTTGAGTTGAGCTTCAACCTCCAGTTTGATTTTTAGCCTAACACTAGGGAACTGTTGTTGTAACAGGCCGTCAAGTCAGAATGAACTCACAGTTGACCCCCCAGGGTATTTTCAGAGACTGTAAATCACATGAGAGGGACCTCTGCAGCTAGTGTTAAGGAGTTGTGCCATCAACCCAAAGGTAGCGCAAATCTACCAGCTGCTCCCCAGGAGAAATGTGGGCAGTCTCCTCCGGTGCCATTTTATTGCCTCTGAAAACTTGCTGGAGAGTCAGCTATGGGTCAGTTCCAACTCACTGGTACACAACAACCACAAATCGCACAGAGGAGATTGCCTATCTTTCTCCCACAATCAGCGGGTGGATTCAAACCGCCTGTTTTTCAGTTCACAGTGCAACTCCTGGCCCTCTACGCCACCAGAATTCCCTTAAGCCCAACTAGAAATAACCATTTGTTAAGACATAAACAAAGTTATGAGAAACACCAAGGGCCTGAGGTTAAAAGAGTATTGTCTTAATACCTAAGTGGTATTGTCTTAGAATTAAGGTGGTTTTTTTCAGAGCACAAACAAGACTGAATGAAACTAGGTCACATGTGCTTGCAACAAGGAATTATCTGACGGCTCAGTGATCAAAGAAGGGAGTAGGAGCCAACATCCCGTAATGAGTCTTGGCACCACCTCCCAGACTCCCTTACACCCACCTTGAAGTTGCATGCAGATGCAAAGGAGGAAGGAGCAAACTGTGCAAATAAGACATTTCTTACTCATAGAAACACCTCCCAGTGAGAAACAGCCCTAGAAAACCTCTAAACAGTTGTTGCTCTTGGAGTCAATACTTGTGTTCCTCGCCAGCCCTGTATGATCTCCCCTTGATGTGTTTTCCAATTTCTTAATAAGTCTATACTTTTTTTATTCTCTAGTAAATCTACTTAGCAAGTCTGTCTTGGAGAAAGTGCAGCCAGGGTGCTCCTTAGAGGCAAGGACGGTGAAACTTGGTCTGCTAGACATTGGCATGTTAGGAGGGGGTCCGTCTTAGGGAGAAGACATCATGCTTGTGAAGGTGGAAGAGAGGAAGACCCTCTCCAAGATGAACAGACCCAGTGACTGTAACAACCCCACGCACCTGCCTGTGTCCTCAGAGACCGTGTGTCTCCCTCTGCTGATCTCTGTCACCTGCTCTTTTAGTCATTCACTGTGATTAATCACTTTCTCAGAGATGAAGAGGGGGTTGCTATGAGCAGCTGTTGCAGACCGAGGATAAAGTAATTTTATAATTATTAATATTGAGACAGACAGCCAGGAATGAGAGAGAACAGAAAGCATAAAACAGGGGGCCAGCAGTTCTCGACTGAAGACCCTTATTCCAGCTTCCCTGGAAGTAAATCACAAAGATAATTCAATGCTCTTTCTATTGAAAACCTTCTGCTTGACGCAGGAGGGAGGGGTTAACAAATGTAAGAATCTGGTAAACCCTTAAGGATTGCCTTAGTGCCTCAGGGTGAACTCTAGCTTTGAACCCTGCCTCCCCACATCCTGAAATAGCATTCAGTTTATTACAAATATTTAGTATTGGCTTCCCATAAGCAGCAGTTGACTCGATGGCATCAAACAACATGGGCATGTCTAGTCCTTCGGGGTGTCCATCTTCACCTCTGCGTTGGTCTCTCTACTTTTACCACCATCTGTGCCAAGTTGTACCACTGTCTGCCTTTCTGGGTGTAGCTATCTTTCTCTGTCTCCCTGACTCTCTTCTGTCTCACGCTCTCTGAGCATCTAGGTCAATTCCTTTGTTCATTCGTTCACGCAGACCACATTGCAAACGTCTCCTGTGGCCTGTGAGATTGAGAACTCACAAGTCTCCAAACGGGGAGACCCACTGAAGGAGACCAGCTCTGGTGGAGCAGGATGGGATGCAGGCTGGTCCTTGATCTGAGGGAGAGAGTGTGTGCAGGGCAGGGAGGAGGGTCAGAGAAGACGTCACAACAAAGCTGATATTTGTGACTTTGAGTCTAGGACTCGAAGCCCCAGAACCCCAAGGGTGTGTCTGCTGTGTGGGTCTATGTGTGGAGATGGGAAGCTGTTTCATTGTTGATAGGTGTGTTCAGTCAGCTATGGCTCACGGAAACCCTATGAACAGCAGATCTGAATCCTGCCCCACCCTGCTCTATCCTCACGGTCTTGACCTTGCGTGAGCCCATTGCTTCAGTCACCATGGCAATGCAGCTCATTAAGCTCTGCCTCTGACCTTTCCCAGCATGATGTCTTCTTCCAAGGATTTGTTCCCTCCTAACAACATGCTCAAAGTACGTTAGAGAAAGTTTCACCATCCTTGCCTTTAAAAAGTGCACTGGTTGCACTTCCTTCAAGATAGACTGCTTTGTTCTTTCGGCAATCCAGGGGATATTCATGACTCTTCTCCAAGGACATTTTGCAAGGAGAAATCAGAAATCAAAGGGACAAGTGTCTGGGGAGCATATAAATGAAGAGAAGCTGCAAATCACAGATCTCCCCAAAATGAAGGGTTCCAAGCACCAAACTTCCACCTCCCTCAGACCCAGGAGTCCAGGGCCCCAGCCGCCTCTTCCCTGGACCCAGGAGTCCACTTCTCATCAGATCAGTTCAGATCCAAGCCCTCAAACCTCTTCCTATCTTGGGAACCAAGGGTGTCCGGACCTCTGTGTGGCTGTGAGCCTGTGTCTGAGTAGTATCCATTCCCATGCCGTGTGTGTGTGTGTGTGTGTGTGTGTGTGTGTGTGTGTGTGTACCTACACATCTCTAATAGCAAGGATCCAGCCACTGTTCGATGCCACAGGAACTTCGCCATTAACTCCTGCCGCCCCGGTAACTGCTGGGAGGAGACTTGGCCGCTGGAGGACGGGGGCGGGGCGCAGGGATCCCAGCTGGGCACGTTCTCCCGGATGCCAGGGGCAGGGCAGGGAGAAGCCAGCCTGGCAGCAGGTCAGAGCATCAGGAGCTGTCCCAGGTGCCAGCTCCGCTCCGGCTCAGACCATGGGGAGCTCCAGAGCCATCCTGCTCTGCCTTTTTGGGTTTGTGCTCTGCCTGACAGGTACCCTGACTTCCATACCCACGTGGGACAGGGAGTGGGGTGGGAGTGGCTGGTGGCCTGGAATCCTGGGTCAGAGGGAGGAGGGGGCTGGGGGCCTGGACTCCTGGGTCAGGGGGAGGAGGGACTGGGGCCTGGACTCCTAGGTCTAGGAGAGGAGAGGGCTGGGGACCTCATTATTTCTCTTCCTCTCCTCTGTTCTTCCCCCATCAGCCATCATTTCTCTTTACACCATTCCACCTTCCTCATCCTCTTCAATCATTGTCCCATTCTTGGGTGCTTCTGGAAGCATGGGATCATTATCCAGAGCTGGCAGGAACCTTGGCCTCATCTTCAGGCCAACCCTCCACGCACTACCTTTGAGCAAGGTCTGGGACATGTGCTGGTCAGAACCAAAGTAACTGCAATCAGGCAGGGGCTCCGGTGACGTCCCTACCGAGTAGTGCTGCTGACCTAATGACCATGCCTGTCTGACGGTTCCAATCCAGGGTGTGCGCGGTCTTCTCCCATGTGATGGAGCCTCGGAGACCCCTCGGAGGGTCGGCTGTGAGTCAGCGCCCACTTGAGAGCAATGAATGAGATACTGATGTTATGTCCGCAAAGGAGACAGTGAGGAGGAGGCCCTACCACCTCCACCTCCCAAGAGCATGAGGTTGACGTGTATCTTCATTATTTACTGCTGCCAAAACAGAAATGCCACAAATGGATGACTAAAAGATTTCCACTCCGACTGTTTAGGGGGTGGGAATCCAGAATTCAGAGCGTGGCTCTAGGGTTTCCCGGCTTTCTCTTTGTCATGTCTTTTCAGCATCTGCTTCTTCCTGGTTCCCTAGAGCTCTCCATGTTCCTTGGTAACTCTCTCGCCCTTCGCTGCTCTAGCTTTCAGTTGATCTCTTTTCTCTCAAAAGAAATTGCCTCAAAATACACAGAAATCCTGCCTCATTAACAGATCATGCTTGTTGTGTGATGTTGAATCAGAACTGACCCATCGCTGACCCTCCTGCAGATTTCCGGAGGCAGTAAATCACACAGGAGGAGATTCTCTATCTCTTGTGGAGCAGCTGGTGGATTTGAACTGCAGGTCTTTGTGTTGGCAGCACAATTCCTTTCCCCTGAGCCACCTGAGTTCCCTTAATAGCACATAAACAATCTACTTTCAGTGTTTTGGGGTTTTTAAAAAATTTTATTATCTTTTGTGTGTGTACAGTCAAATCAGCTCTGACTGGTACAGGAGGAGATTGCTCCTCCTTCTCCAGCAGAGCATCTGGTGAATTAGAACCGCATACCTCTGGGATTGCAGTGCAGCTTCTTGCCACTAGGCCACCAGAGCTCCCTTGACAATCCATTTTCAAATGGAATTAAAACTGTAAGCATGTTATTGCTGCTATTCGGTGCCATCAGGTCAAGGCACAACAAATCAGGTGCACAACAGATGGAATCTACACCTCTGCTGTCCTTACAATCTCTGCTATGCTTGAACTCATTGCTGCAGTCACTGTGTCAGTCCGTCTTGTTGAAGGTCTTCCTCTCCTTCACAGACCTTCTACTTTTCCAAGCATGAGATTCATTTCAACGTAAATCCACCAGTCCATGTGAGGGTGCTTGACTTCTGTGTGTGCCCCTGTGTTAGTGTATCTCTCTTGTGGTGGTGGTGGTAGTGGTGGTGGTGTACCATCAAGTCAGAACCAACCCATTGCTTACCCTCCAGTGGGCTTCCAGAGGTAGTTAATTGCATGAGAAGAGATTGCCCATCCTTCTTCCCTGGAGTAGCTGGTGTATTTGAACTGAGTGCCTTCAGGATTGCAGTGCAGCTTCTTGCCACTAGGCCACCAGTGCACCAGGTTTTAATGTTTCAGTGTTTAAACAAATACTGTTGTGGGCCTGCTAGTCTTTGAACTTCAATGTCCTTGCAAAAGAAACTCATGAGTCCTTTTGAATGTCTGAGTAATTCTGTGTGCATCTTTATGGCTTGTGGGTCTGTGTTTATATCTCTCTGTTAAATGTTTTCTGGCATTTCAATTTTGGTTTATCTATGTTCCACGTCTCTGGTTCTCAAGTCTTTGCCATTTTAAATGGCATATTTTGAGATTTTTAGGTATCTTTTTACTTTAATATTTTACTTTGTTTGGGGGAAAAGTTTACACAGCAGTTCAGGGTTCCACTTAAACAGTTTCTACTATGATTTCTGTTCTTTATTCGGTTTTTACTCATCTAGTTTCCTGTGTCCCTGTGTTCTCATCTTTGTTTTAAAGTCACTGTTGACCATTTGATCTCATTACTTAAAGGAGCATAGTACTTACAGATGATACTCATTACTTTTTTGGTCCAAATTTTTTTTGTATGTGATTGGAGTGAAAGTTTATAAAGAAGGGTGGACGGACAGCACAGGAGAGGAAGACGCTGGGTGAGGTAGATTGATACAGTAATTGGGGCAATGAAGGTTGGTGTGTTGGAATTAGTGAGACTGGCTCAGGACAGGGCAGGCTTCAGAGTGGTTGTACACAGGGTCACTATACATCGCAGGCAACTCAATAGCACAATAATATACCATGACAGGTTTGGAAGCCGGAGTGGCATCCACTTCTGAAAAAACATGCCTCCAGAAACTCTATGAGCTTTGATAAAAGTCGACAATTGTAGAGGGGCGTTAGGCCTTTGGTTCATAGGGTCAATGTGAGTCATGTTCAACTCAAAGGCAATCACCACCAATAACATTGTTTTGGCAGTCACTAAAGGTGACTTCAGGGGTTACTTTCATGTCAGGGGTGAGGGGTATCTCAGGCCAGTAGTCTCAAGCGTCAAACAGCCTCACTCCGTCCAGTCTGTTTTGATTTGTTTTGCTTTTAGGAATTCAAGGTGCTGTTCTACATTTTCCTCCCATTTTACCAGGATCCATCCATTGTGTAAACAGTTATGGTTTTGAGGGTCACATTTTTTGTGCTCTGATTTAGTCATAATCTCACTTTTTATTGTGTATGTGTTTGTCTTTTCTTTTTTCTCTAAGGATGATTTCGTGAGTCTCTTGGGTCTCTCTGTGGTTATTATCTCCATATACACATATGTGTGTGTGTGTGTGTGTGTGTGTGTGTGAGAGAGAGAGAGAGAGAGAAAAAAAAAGATTTGGTTTGCAGAGAGTTTATACTGGAGGACATAGACATCTACTTGTTTGGTGTGAGTGTAGAATTTTATGTGAAAGTGTCATGCCTCCTGTATATATTTGCCAAATTTCCTTGACTCTGGATTCATTCTGCGGTGTTGAAGTGTTCGTGTTCCAAAAGTGTTACTTTTTTAAAGAAAGAGTTCTTTCCATTTCGTTTTTTGTTGTGAGTTGATAAAAAGTTTATGGTGAGGGGAGCTCTGGTGGCCTAGTGGTAAGGAGCTGCAACTACAATCCCAGAGGCGCACGGTTCGAATCCACCAGATGCTCTGCTGGGGCAGGAAGGACAATCTCCTCCTGTACCAGTCAGATCTGATTTGATGGTACACTCACACAAAAATAATAAAATAAAAATTAAAAAAAGTTTATGGTGCAAATTGGCTTTTTATTCACCCACTCTTATACATTTTGCTTTTTTACCTTAACTATCGTCCCCACAGTGTAACAGCAGCAGCCTTCCTGCCTCTTCCCTGTGGGTCTTGTTTCCATTTATCCTCCTGGCCTCTCCCTCGCTGCCCTCTGAGCTTCATTCCTGGGCAGATGATGATGTTCTTTTGATCTTGTGTGTTTGCTTGTGCTAAAAGTACATTGTGGGTGTTATTGCTCATCTTATGAGCCTATTGTTCGCCTGAAAGTTGAGCCACAGGGATGAGTTTAGTTCTAAGCTTGAAGAGGACTAAGTCTCAGGGTGGCTTAGTGAATAGGGAGTTATGCTGCTAACCCAAAGGTAACAGTTTGACTCTACCAGTTGTTCCCAGGGGAAAGATGGGCAATATCCTTTGATGGAATTTATGGCCTCTGAAGACCTGCTGAAGGATTAGCTATGAGTTGGTTGTGATGATGAGTTTGACTCTGAGAGGTTTTTCTGCTGGACCAGTAAACTTTTAGGAATTTTAGTTTTATTTCATATTCCACACACACACATTCTGCAGGACCATCTGCTGTGATTCCTTTTAGAGTCCAAATGTGATCTTTTCATTCTGTCAGTCAACATGCCTGCTTGGACTTATCTGGGGCTACCTTTATCAGAAGTTTACTTTCCAGGGGCAGGAGGAGTGAACAGGAGTGAGTCACCTCCTCCCTTATCTAAGTTTTGGAGAGCTCCCAGGAGGACGGTGGAGCTCTGGAATAGCAGGAGAGAATAAACTGAACTGGCAGGTTCAGAGAGCCCTGAACTCACCCGACCAGATCAGAACCTAGGTCCTCCCCTGGCTGCCAGGACGGTTCTCTTCAGAGCAGAAGGACAGAATTACCCTCGTTTGCAGGGTGGAACCCCGAGCCTGCCCCCAGCTCTGCTAACTGCCCATGCTCCCTACCTCAGAGTCTCAAGCCCTGAAATGCTACAGCTTTGAACACACCTACTCCAGCCCCTTTGACCTCAGCGGCAAATCGCTGCCCACAGTCTCCTGTTCCAGCCGATGCTTTGAGGCTGTCAGCTCCCTGAGCACAGGTGAGCCCAGGAGGGTGTGCAGGAGAGGAAGGGGTGGGAGGCACGGGTGAATGAGGGACAGGAGAGGAGGAGAGCCTTAAGGACAGAGCAATGAGAAGGTGGAGGAGAGAAAAGAGGAAAACAAGTGGTTTGCATTGGGCAGCTGACAGCTGGCACCTCCCACTCACACAGTGGGCACGCAGAAGAAAGGTCTGGCAGTCTGCTTTCATCAAGATGACAGCCTAGAAAGCGTTATGGAGTAGTTGTACTCCCTAAGGCATGGGGTCACCACGAGTGGATACCCGCACAACGAGGTGGCAGCAAAGAGAGAAAAATGAAAGAACCAGGAATGAGGGACCGGAGATGGGGAGCAGTGACTCGGCAAGCGGAGGAGAGAAGCAACGAGGAGGAAGAAGGAAGGAGATCTGGGAGAGGAAGGTGGGAGCTAGAGTGGGGTTAGGAAGGTAAAGAGGGAGATGGAGGAAGAAGATCAGTGAGAACGAAAGAAGAGAATAGAGAGCAAGGGTTGAGGAAGGGAGGTAAAGGGGAAGAGATGGAAGGAAGCAGGCTACGGAAAGGCTACAGACCTCTCCATCCTTGCGGGCCGCCAGGGTACCGCTCCTCCCTGACGCTGATAAAGAAGGGCTGCTGGCCCGGCCCTGACACTGGCCAGATGCTGGTGAACAGAGACTCGCTGCCCCCGGACTACTCCGTGGTGCGCGGCTGCACCACCGACCTGTGTAACCAGGACATCATGAGCCATGACAGCCTCCCCAACCTCAGCCCGGGTATGAGGGATGGGGGTGGAGGAGGGGTGTGTGTGTCAGGGCCGGGTGTGGGAGGGGCGTGGTCTCTGAGCCCAGGTCAGCCGAGGATGGGGCCTGGGGGCGTGGGCGGAGCCTGGGGGCAGGGCCTCTGAACCCTGGTACCCCAGGATGGGGTCTTGGGGGACGGGGTGTGAACAGGGCCGTGTGTGGGCGTGGCCTCTAAGCCCGGGTTGGGAGGAGCCGGGCCAGGAGGGGCAGGGGCGGGGTCTTGTTGGAGGGGCGGGGCGGGGCGGGGCCTCCGAGGCCAGCCTTGGACCGCGCTCCAGCCTGTTGCAGTGCGCAGCCCGCACATCCGAACCCGGCGCGCCTCCTGCACGTGGGTCTGTGCTCTTTTCAGCGCCTGACCCGCCGTTGCTCAGCGGCACCGAGTGCTACACGTGCGTGGGGGTCCTCCCAGAGGACTGCACTCCCGAGAAGTCCCGCAAAGTCCAATGTCACCTGGACGAGAGCGTCTGCTTCCAGGGAAATGGCCGAATGACCATCGGTGAGAGACGGGCCCGGGTGGGAGGATGAGGAGGCGGGGCAGGTCTGACAGGGACACATTCCTTGTCCCAAGGCTGTGGTCTGAGGGAGGAAGCCTGGCCTTCCCTGAGAGGACGTGAGGCAGGCCTAGTCTGAGAGCGGAGGCATGCTCCTGGGCTCCCGGCCTCTGACCCTGACCTCCATCCCCCAGCCAATACCTCAGTCCCTGTGTACCTCAGAACCTGCCACCGGCCCTCCTGCACCATCAGGGGCACCTCCAGCCCCTGGACCGACATTGACCTGCAAGGATCCTGCTGCAAAGGCAACTTGTGTAATGACGAGTCGGTGCTGCAGGACTTCGCCTCTGCGGCCGCCCCACGCCGCACAACCCACTTTGTGGCCCTGCTTCTCCCACTGGCGCTGCTGGGCGGACCCCTCGGACTCTTCTCCTAGACCACCCCTCTTTCTTAGATCACCCCTCCCGCAGCCTCCTCAGGCAGGAGACCCCAGGACTAGGTCCAAGCCCCTCCTCCTGTAACACGGTTAACTTGAAAATAATATCAAAGCAGTCAAATAATAAGCAGAAAATAATACCACTGTCAGTGACTCTCCGACTGTGTCCTTCGTACCTTCACGTCACAGTCCAACTTCTACCTGGTCAGTTGACCTGGGAGAGAGTGGACAAGATCTCTGGTGGCCTCGGTTGAGGAGAAATATCCGTGTCCTGCCCCACGTGAAGAACAAGTGTAATAAAGCATTACATACCGAGCACCCACCAAGCACTTGCCCCCCAAAATTATTTCCTGTGCTCCCCTCTGTGGCTCTAGGAAGGAGTTGCAATGGTGTTTTTTCTACTGGTATTATCCCGAGAAGCATGCAAGGCAATACCTCTCAGGAGCGCAGATTCTCAAGCCAAACTGCCAGGGTTCAAAGCCCAGTTCTACCACGGAGACTGTGAATGACCTGGGGTCGTTTGGTCAACCTCCCTGTGCCTCAGTTTCCTTACATGCAGGGTGGAGATGAAGAGGCTCTGGGCAGCACAAATATTAAGTGCTTGGCTACTAATGGCAAGGGATCAATCCACCCAGAAGTGCCTCAGAAGCTGGTAATCTCCATGCAAAAAGTAGCCCTCAGAAAGAAATCCAAGGATGTGTGTTGCTCCTCTGATGCACCTCAGGTCACCATGTATCAGAATCAACACAAGGGAAACTGATTAACTGATTAGGGAGGAGATAGCCATTAATCATGTTGTCATCATCATTCCTACTTCACAGTGGGCAGTGGCTGTGGTGGGGGATCTGAGGTCATAAATGCGGGCACCCGGGGCATACAGTCACTCCAGAAAGGAGGCTCTGGTCCACTCCATGTTATACAGATGGGCAAACTGAGCCTCAAAGAGGAGAAAGCACTCCCCTGAGCTCATGAATCACAGCAAACTCAGAGCCTTGTGCTCTGAAAAGCTGCAACCCCACCTCCCAAACATGCAACCTTGCAAACTTGTGGGTGATGATTAACTTGTCAGAGAAAACACTCCAGGCAAAGCCGAGGCAGGCAAAACTCTCCAGCCTGTGAGATCAGGGAAGACTTCCTGGAAGAAGTAAACTCAGAAAAAAATGCTAAAGGGTAAATAGAAACAGGAGGAAGGAGACAATGTGAACAAAGCAAAGAAGGAAAACCAGATGTGCTGGGCACAGATTTGTTCTCTGTGCTACGGATCCATTCTAAATTATCCAAGTGATGTTCAATTTGTTATGTTCTAATCAAGGAGCTCTGGTGACAAGGTCCTTAGAGAACTGCACCACGAACCAAAAGGCACTGCTAGTCTCCGGTGGTTCAAATCTAACGACAGCCCTGCAGGAGAGATGGGGGATCTCCTCCCATGCAATTCACAGCCTCAGAAACCCAAGGGAGGGTCACTGGGTTCTCATGAGCTGGAATAAACTTGTAGGCAGAAGATTTGGTTTCTTGGTTATAATTCTGACTTTGCCTGTCATTGACCCTGCATGTCTTTCACATACATTGTTTTGTAGTCTTGATCGGTTTGAATAGTTAACTGTTTGTCACTACTCATTCAACAACTTTTAAGGTCTCCTAGGTGCAATATACAAGAACTATCTGGTTTTGATACAAGGAGGGTGAAAGTAGTGGGAAAGTAAGATAGATTCTACTAAGAACTTTTCCCGCCCCAAACCCCAGGGGCAACCCCCAATCATAATAATCCTTATGTAAAATAGTAAGGGAGAAGAAGTGAGAGAAAAAGAAATTAGTAGAATGGACAGAGAGAAATGAGAAGGGGAAGTGGAGGAGGGAGAGAGGGAGGGAATAAAAAGCTAAAAGAAAAGAAGTACAACTGTAGACAGTCTGTTTCTATAACTGATCGTAAGGTCATCAATGATTTGTAAAAGTCTTCCTTCCATTATGCACTCCTTGTTTCCTTAGCCTTCAGCTAGCTGGCTTTTCTTTACCCAGCAGCATAAGCCAAACCTTCATCCCTGAAGGATCTAAATACTCAATTGTCTTGCCTTGTTGCTTTTGCTGTAAACATGGAAATTCTAAGAAGAACCAGAGAGAGTCATGGTGTCTAAGCATGTGCTTCCTTGGCCTTGCTTCCTAACACTAACTGAATTTCTTCTTGGCAATTGAGATCCATAACCTTAGGAAACAGAGCAATTCTCTTTGACCTTTGCTTCAATAGTTTGGGGAACCCAAAATGGCCAAGGGGCAGCAGCATCTTTCAGTAGATCTGCTGTCCCTGAGGACTGGAGGCCTAGTGGGTAAACAGTTGTGTGCCAACGTAAAAGCAGGTGTTTCACATGGAGTTTGAATCCACAGTGGTTCATAGTCTGTGAAAACCCTCTAAAAAGTCAACAATGAGTTGGAACCCACCAGATGGCAATGGCTGGAAGCATTACTCCTTGGGAAGCAAGATTTCCAAACTATCAGAGCTGTAGCTATGGGATGGGAAGCAAGTATTCTGTGAGCCGGCATGAGGTATAATGGTGCAAAGAGCCCTTCTGCCCCTTGGTACCCAGATCAAATGAATCGAGGCTATGGGGGGGACATCAGTGGGAACTGGGTCCTTGGCTCAGGATGCACATTACATCTTGTGAGGCAGAACTTCATCCTTTCAGCTTGTTGACGCCCATCTGGCCCATCAACTGAATGATTCCATTGTTTTATCAGGTGACGTGTTTCTAGGTAATGAGATCTGGGATAAAACCAGTGAAATTCATCGGCATGCGTTCTCTCCCACTCTGGAATTCCCTGGTCAGAAGCAACGCTGTAGCAGACATGGCTGGGAGGAGGCGTTCTGTAATCCTGAGGAGAGACTCTGACAGCTGGGAGGTGGAAGAAGAGCACACAACCTTCTGAGTTCTGTTCACATACCAGGAACCACTTCAGGCATGGATTTCATAAATGAAGCTGTAAGTGGGAAGGAAACGGAATTTATGCACATCAGTATCCAATCATTCACTGGAATTCTCTTACACCCTCAGCCAAGACCTGGACATTGAGACCATGGAGGTGAGATCCAGACCTGGAGATGCTCCCAATCTGACAGGAGAGGCAGATCACCCTCAGACCACCACAGGTCAGGGAGGAACATACAGGGTTAAGAGGCACCAGTATTGGGAGAGTTACATTGAGGCTGGTTCCACAGAGAGCTTGGTGTTGAAACTTCCAGATGGACAGGGCACAGCATTCCAGACCCAGTGAGCAGCCTATGCAAAGGCTGAGATCCAGAGGGGGCACTAATCTCGAGAAAGAGTCAACAGACCTTTCTAATCTGTTCTTCTGTGCTGTCACCCACCCTTGAAGAACTCCTAGTCTGATGAGGAACACGACTGAAGCGCAGATAGTCACAGCCTCTGGGGAAATGAGAGCAGTAAGAGAGGGAGAAGCTGGTCCAGAAGGTGGGGAGAGAGCATGGATGAGAGTTGTGGAATTAAGGGGAAGCTTCAAAGAAGACAGAATTCGTGCTGGGTCCTAAAGGATGAGCTGTTGTTGTTCTCAGATGCCCTCGAGTCTACTAACATTCATAGCAACCCTAGGAACAACGTATCAGAATCTGGCCTCATCCTGCACCATCATCACCATCTCCAACATGCTCACACTCGCTGTTAGAGCCACTGCGTCAGTCCGTATCACTGAGGAGCTCCTTATCTCTGGCCAATCCACTGCCTTTCTCAGCATAGCATCTTTTCCCAAGAACTAGCCCCTCCTGACAACACGCAGCAAAGCAATTTCACCGTCCTTGCCTCTAACGAGCACTCTTCATCCAAGACAGGATCATCCACAAGAAGGATGAGTAGGAAGTCACAGCATCTTAGGCAGAGGAATCAGACCCTGCCAAGAGCTTAGGAAACCTTTATTAAATGGCAGGTACAACATTTAATTAAATGACCCAGCTTCTGGGAGTTGCACAATATACTACAGGAAATGAGAAAATGGGTGGAGGCAGAGAAAAAAACACAAGTGGACGTGAGCTGGTACTTGTTAAATCTAAGTGATGCATACATAGAGGTTTATGATACACTTCTGTTCACTTTTCTCAGTGACATGTATTGTCACAAAGACTTCTGGACCCACTCATATCAGAGATTGTGAGAAGATGCAGGATGGAGCAAGGCTCAGACCTGCTGTTTATAGGGCCACTATGAGTAGTAATCGATCTGATGACACCTAACAACAATAACATCCTTCCCTGAGGAGCTCTGACATCCTCCAGTCTTTCTGTGATCCTGACAATCTAACACCTGCGTTGGACACGTGATATCACATCTCCTTCCCACATCCTTCTCAAGATGCCTCATCCTTGCTCTTTCCAGCTTCCTGAGAGGGGGAGTCCAGGTCAGCACCAAGGACAGGTCCTTCACACTGAGGCTGAGAATCCCTGACAGCAAAACACAGTACAAAAATGAAACCAAAAACCCTCTTCCAGAGAGTTGATTCTGAGTCATAGAGACCTTACAGGATGCGGAACTTCCACATGGCTGCAGTCTTTACAGAAGCTGACTCCCACGTCTCTTCCCTGTGGAGCAGCTGCAGGGTGTGAACTGCTAGCCTTTCAGTCAGCAGGTGAACACTTAACCACTGCACGGGGAGGGAGGACAAATGCTAAGGGGATGGGGACATGTCATCCTGCACGCCTCTGACAAGACAGGCTAGAGCCAGCCAATGTCACTGAATAAGACCATTAGTTCAATAAATGTTTAATGAGCTCCTCCCACGTGCCAGGCATTATTGTGCAGAGGGAAAATAAGAATTGCCACAGCTGGATGGGGAGACATCCAACCTGCTCTTTTCTTTGTTTTTTTGTCATTTTAGTAACTTTCTCCTATCATCTTGTATGATGTCCTTGATGTCCAACTTGTTTGATCTCCAGCCATTAGTGTTTTATATGTCAACTATTTTCTTGAGATGGTCTCTAAGATTGAGGTGGAAAACACTCT